CCGTCGAACCATCCGCTATCCGTAATATCATCGTCTTCGTCGTCGAAATTTCTTAGTTCCATTTTATATGCAGATGCCCTGCAGTACGATTGCTCCGCTTTTGCCAATGTAGTCCAAAAGAGTTTTACTACACCACAGTGACATGACATATTTCAGCCATGGTAGATACTATATAGTTGCAACGAACCTTGACAGTAACAACTTGATCCAAGCAAGGTTGCAAAGACTCATTTCAGCTAAAATAATGTTTTTCGGAATAATAAAACCGAAAGATGGTATGATGGCATGTTTTACTTGTAACTTACAAGAAGAGGTTACAAAGTATGAGTTTGAAACATAAAACCTGTAAATTTTGCTTTCTATGAGTCACAATCAGCGATTTGCTGATCGCTGAGTGAGTGAGTGAGTGAGTTTGTGAAAAATCGCTGATTGTGACTCTCATGAAGTGAAATAAACAGGTTTAATACGTCAAACACATTCTTTGCAACCTCTTCTTGTATCCTACCAATTCAAAATTTGATCATGGCATCTAATTATTTCATAATTTAGAAAAACATTGTTTTAGCTGAAATGAGTCTTTGCAACCTTGGATCCAAGTTGGTTGCAAAACGAAGTTTGAAAACATTAGATTCATAACAAGATTGTAAATAGGTGCTTCCTAACATCTTGCTTCGTCAACTTTTTAGTAACATCACACTCTGTTGCACCCAAATTTCAAGAAACATAATGTTTTGTGGAACTCTCATAAAACAAATACAACACTAGTTAGATTTGTTGCTGTAATGTTTCATACAACATCACGCAGCATATAACTTCATATCTACTTGAGGGTAACATGCTTGCTCCTCCCATTGGATGCATGATTTGAGAGAACATCCAACTAATAAATTGCAAAAGTTGTTACAAAACTGTCAAGTAACAAACTTGAAACCGTTTCGTATCGGGGTTTTTTTTTGTACCATTTAAGGGATTTCTGTGCAACTCAAAAATAAAAATAAATTACGATGTTTGCTTGGGGTGATTTTGGTTGTACAGATGTTTAATCAACATAATGCTACACTAATAAAAATTCAATGATTATTTCCATGTGTCCCACGCATGATTTTTTGCAATGTGATAAACAAATGATATATATGTGTCGGACACATAGTTCTTATGTGTACCAAGGGAGGGTCACTCTACACACTTATTTTGCGCCAACATTTTTCCCAGTGTGCCTCAGTGTGCCGCAGCTGTATCGGCAGTGCCAAAAAGTAATTGAACTTACATTTGTTTTCTTGTGAATAATGCCTTGTTTGGCAACCCGCTATTTTAACAGCTCATGTTTTTGTTTTGATTTTCAATGTTTTCAAAAACGACACGGCCTCCAGTTGAGACTACACACTGGATGCATCCGTCTCCAAGAATGCCTGCAACTGACGAGCTCAGTTGCTACACGATCCTTCCATCTTCGGCGGAAGGCCGACCCCGCACAAAGAACGTCAATCATTAGTCAACCAGCCCTTCTGGGAGCCGGCGTAGGAAACGGATTTGCACCGAATCTTTCACCGCCCGAGTATCATCGGTCGGAAAACTGGAAACCAACACCGGCCGGAACACACGTTGGACTGATGAAGGACACACCGCTGACCCGAAACGGACCAGCCAACTTCATTCAACCGGCACAGCAACAGGGCGCAGTGATGATGGTCTACGGACTCGATAATAACACAGCCAACACCGATAAGCTGTTCAATCTATTCTGCCTGTATGAAAATGTTGTCAAGATAAAGTTCCTGAAGATATGGGAGACGCCATCGCAGTCGAACCAGTCAAACGCAGCATCCAGCACTTGAACAACATTGAATGAATGGAAATTATTGTAGCAAAATTCAAAATGCATTTTCCAAGCAGAACTACTTGTCAGAGTCCACCAACCCTGCCGGACAATTCGATCAGCTTCAAGGTCTACAGCGCTTTCCAGGCCAGCAAAAATCGCATTCTCCACTTCTTTAATACCCCACCTGTATGCCGTCCGAGGATCTGCTGCTGACTGCATTCACCACCAAGGACTGCCCCACCCGTCGCAAGTGCGCTGAAATCGGAAAGTTCCTCCTCCGGATTGGTCGAGTTCCCGAGCGTAACCCTAGCGGTGAACGCCATCATGAAGTGCAACCACAGCGCGATCGATCACAAATGCACAAAATTCCCGTTCATTATGAAGCTGTGCTTCTCCTCCTCCAAGAAGATGAACGGTGCGTTGGAGCAACGAGAACATCGAAAACACGTTAGCTTTGAAAGAGCGAAAGCTTCTTTTTCTATGTAGTTAATGCTATGATTCATAATTATAATTTCTTATTGTGTTAGTTGGAAGTGCAAAAAGGCAGGAGAGTAAAAATAATTTGTTGAACTATTCGAGATTTTGCCAAGACGATCCTCCAACATTATATGTTGAACGATGGAATGGTTGGTGTAACAGCCATTGCCGTGGATGTATTCGAGCAGTTCGAATGGTCGGATGATATAGTTTTTGTTTGGTTGTTGACTTTCCGATTAAAACTCAAGCACCGCTTGTCGTGACCGGCCCGAGATTTCCAGCGTCGGCCACGGCTACACGAATTAGCGATGCAGCTCCCACGGATGCGGCTGCTTCCAATGCTGCTGCTAATGCTGTTCCTTCTGCTGGTCCGTCTCCTCTATAATTCGTAAAAAAAAAGACGGACCAGCAGCAGCATTGGAAGCAGGTGCAGCCGTGGGAGCTGCATCGCTAGTTCGTATAGTCATGGCCGGAAACCCCGGTCAGGTCAAGATACCGCTGTCAGCTGTTCTTCGTCTGGGAGGAAATGTGGATGCGACTGCCGTCACGGGTGTAACGATTTTGAGAATCCATGGCGAGACTTGGTGGAGATTCAGGGTTGTTTTGAAAATAATTTGATTATATTCTGGCAACACTGCGCAGGTGCAGAAAAAGTTCAGTGTTGTCAGTAACTTTAAAGATCATAAAAATTGTAACCATGGGTGCCAAACAGCGCCAATGACTGCGCCCGTGTGTGCCCAAGTTTGATTTTGGCACACTGTGTAGAGTGATCAACCTCTTGTATGTGTACACATAAAATTCATGTGTAACCACACACTTAGAAACAACTACTTTTACACGAGACGTAATCCACATTGGACGTAAATCGTGGAACGTAAGCAAACATTTCATGTAAAATTAAGTGTTCCCAAACCTAAACATAAGCAACTCGACGAAGAGAACGTTTGATTGAATTTATTTTCTCGTTTCTTTCAGCTGATTCTTATGTCAAAAGGGCCGCTTACATGTGTCGGTCTCAGGAAACCGAATTTTACATCACTTTTTCGTAGAGTGCACACATACTATTCATTTGACTCATAAATTTCATGTGTACTTCTGAGTGGAGTCTGTTTATGTGTGGATACATGAAAGTCATGTGGAATTTTACATAGAAATTCGCCAATAAAAATGTGTCGAGTTTTATGAGTGTATGAATTTGTGTTGCTTTTGTAAATTAACATTTGGTGAAGAAAAATCCTATGTACATGAGAGTTGATTAATCCGACACTTCGGACACGGCGTTGGGTGGCTTTAGTGATTGGAAATACTTTTTCGCAATCCACGTGGACAGCTTTAGTTGTTATTTATTACTGCCAATAACCATATAGCTGAACTCTTATGTGATTTCATATGTCGCACAATGATTTTTCATATCATGTTCTGACCACATCCTCTCTGAATTTACCCGGGACATATCCGGATGTGTTTATGGTTCTGAGCACTCAACTTGATCGACAGTATTTTTTGTTGTATTACAAATTCCTGATATTTTAATAACTGCATAGTTAATGTCTTTGTAGTTATAATCGTGAACATTTTTTTTGTAAACATGTTTCCATAAGATGGACAAAAGCTCTATAACTAAAACAGAACGAACATATTTTTTCGCATGGCATTAAGTTTAACTCGTAGTTTAGTTTTAATGCTTGGAGGATCCCCAATTTCGTTAATGCTGATGAATGTTTTCGTAATACTGCACATCTGCAAAAAGTGATCCAATAATGTTAACATGAAAATAAAACCAATAAATTGTCATTGCTGTGCACTGCATATATTTCAGAATATTCCCTTCATGAATTTAGGTCCACACTGTAATGAAATATTTTTTGCCAGAATATCACTATGCAAACGCATAAACTTTTTCACAAGTTTCACTTAGTTTTTCATATTATCAGTTTCTCTTTTATCACTACTGTAATTCAGGACCATTAATAAACACTTTCTCTGAAACTGAACAAAAGCCAAATCTACGGGAATGTTAGCATAGATCTTGATTTCATTTCCAATTCAATGCAAAAGCGATTAAAATCGAGTGAAATTCGAAGATTGAACCAGGAAGCAGCACTCTGAAAGATTACTCACTCCAATTTTAAATTCAACATGCCGAGTAAGTCACCATCACCAAGCAGATCATCCCTTAAACCTCCCGCGCAGACGCTACAGCAACCACTGAATGGCGAGCCCATGAAAATCCACACCGAGTGAATCATGCATGCTTTGGGGGGTTACTCTCCCACGAATGGAAAACGACGCAACGAACGACGCCACACAATAATTAGTTCGAGTCACAAGAAAAACCCGATCTTGTTCTATGACGACGACAACGACGCCGACGACGGCGACGACGCGGTCTCCGCATGTGCATTATTATGCTAAAACGGAGGGTCATCCGCTGAACCATGTCGCCTTCTCCTTTTCCTTTCGGCCCGCGCATGATGGACAATCAGCGTGCGTGTGTGTGTGTATGTGTGTGGATCAAAGAGCTGCACTAATGTTCTCTCTCTCGCACGCTTTTGCCCCCCGACAGCCCCGGCTTTAGTCGACCATCGGCTTATGCTACTACCTACTCTAGTGCATCTGGGGGGTTGAAAATCCAACACTTTTGTGATGAGATTTTGGCTAGAGTCTCCGACTTTTTTTTTCCGATTATCTTGCTCGCGTATAAATATGTTGGGAAAAGTTCCAGAAGCCATCAGTTAGCTTTGAACATTTACCAGTATTACATTACCAGCACGCCTAAACAGTTGAAATATGAAGGTGCGTTCTAGTTGTGAATTTTGTGGGATTAAAAGTGTTTGGTGTAGTGAACTATTTAAAAAATCGAAAGACAATCTTGGTGAAGTGTTGATATGAGTGTTCTTTTTGTTACAGGCTTTTGTTGTTTTTGCTATGGCTATTGCCATCGTAGCCAGTGCTGCCGTGGAAAAGAAGGAGGCCGAACAGGCCGCAGCTCCAGCGGAAGGCGGAAAGAAGCAGGATAAGCGTGGACTGTGGGACTTGGGATACGGTTATGAATCTCATGGATGGGAACATTCGTCGCATGGCTGGGAAGATCCTCATCATGTGACTACCGTCATCAAAAAGGAACACGTCCCTGTCCCATATGAAGTCGAGAAGCACATCCCATATCCAGTGAAGGTCCCATACCCAGTGACTGTCGAGAAGCACGTGCCAGTCATTGTCGAAAAGAAGGTCCCAATCTACGTCGAGAAGCCAGTGGCCTACCCAGTCAAGGTCAAGGAATACGTCGAAGTCCCCAAGCCATACCCAGTTCATATTGAGAAACCATACCCAGTCTACGTTAAGAAGCCAGTCTACGTCGAGAAGCACGTCCCAATTGTCGTCAAGTCTCACGGCTGGGAACCACACCACAGCCACTCGTACTCCGAGATCCACTCGTGGCACTAAAGACTGGTTGCGTAAATCCCTAGACACTATCTAGTGATTTACATTCAACACCTTCCAAAAATGAAACAATATTAATCCTATATTAAAAGCTCAAGCTGCTCCTGTATTGTGATCTTCAAGTTTCATCGCTTCTAGCGCATCCAAATCACCCGATTTGGACTGTTTTTTTTTATGTTGTTATAAACCTGCGGGAGAGAATACTCAACTTTTCGCCACCGTAGAAAAGCACCTAGCTCTCTTAAGCCAATCTGTTCATTTTTTCAACTTGTTGTCCAATGTAAATAAATTATTTTACCTTGCCTACATGTTGTAAGCAAAATGTAATAAAAAAGTAAATAAAAAAAGCTAAAAACTGAAATCCTCCTACAGCATTTTCAATTCTACACATACACCACATCCTACTTGCATAAACCCTCGCAAAACAAACCGAAAAAAAAACAAAATCAGCGAAATGATTGTCATTCCGCGGTCATTTTATGCGCCCATCAAAAGAGAGCGAAGAAGCGGGGAACAACCAACATTTATGCTAATTAGTTCTGCTGCGAGCTGAAGCCAGTTGAAATTGAAAGTGCACATTCAATCCACGGACCGACCGGATAGACCACAAACAAGTGAGTCGCGGTGCGCTGGTGTCCGTTGCGTTGTGCACCTCAATTAGAGCACGGACCGCAGATTGGCGGGCACCATAGCTACACTATTGGCTATTGGTGGCTTCCGTTTGGTATTTTTGGATAAGGTCAAAGGAAACTGCTACTGTTGCTACGAAGATTGTAAATGTACGGTGTGAATGGATGCTGGAAGTACCTCCGGTACCCTTAGCCGACGATTGCGGGTTTTAAAGTGGTTCGGGTTTTAATCGAATGGACTAGCGAATTGTGTCAAGGTTGTGACGCACGCTATGTCTGAAGGCACTTTTTTTGCAACATTCATGCACCTCAGATTTTTCTTCACAGGATGTTAGTATTGATTCCAACAATCAAATCTATGATAATTTTAAAATATTTCATCATCGGTTTTTTGAGAAAAAGTGTTTTGAAATTTAAAAAGCCGATTATGAAGGACTATTGACCATACAAAACTATTATGAATTGAACAAATGCATGTTCAAAAAATGAATGAATTTTTCCAAATGAAGTTCTCTTTGACTCCCAAGTAAGATCCATATTGAATATGTCAACTTTGCGCAAAATCAATTGGTACAACATATATCATATGTATAAATCAATTAGCACAACATATTGTTTGATTTCTCTTCCCTCACCAGAGTAAAAGAGATAGAAACGAGCAGGACAATCCGAGACAGCCAGGTAATCATAGTAGGCATTGATTTTCGGCCTGTTTCGATTGTTTTTATATAGATGTATCGTGTGGAAAATCTGGAAAAAATAATAAAAAAAAAACCTAATGAAGAAAATAAGGAGTTCGCTTGTTGTGCTTCGAAAAAGTGACTCTGTAAAAAAAATCAAGCCACTTTAGTAGCGACGATCGTTGAACGATTTTTACCGGAGTTCATTAAAGGAGACAGTAGGTATCCGAAAGTTGTGTGTTCCACACTCAGCAGGTGGCGAAGGTGGCATTTGCCACTAAAACATTATGAGGGGCGGAAAATTCGCTTGGATTTTTAAATATAAATAGACATGTTTGACTCAATGGTGAGATCGAAAATAAATTGACGAATTTGTTTGAAAATCGTTTAACCGATAATGCCGATAATACAGGAATGAAACTTACATGAGGTTAGCTACTCTTGCCCAGTGAGTTTATGTAGCCCTCATCTTGAATTACTACAGATTTGCTAGAGCTTCGTTGCAGTTCCCATATTTTGTTTAAGGAAGCTTTCAGGAAGATTCAGCGGCTTTCTATGTAATTCTGTGAACTATAGGGAACTGTAGTGAATTCAAGGAAAGTTCTGAAAACTTTAAAGAAGTTCCTCCAAAGAGGCAGATAAATTCAACAACTTTCAGAGAAGTTCTATACACTTCAGGAAAATTCAGGGACGTTTTGTGAGCTAGGGGTTCAATGTCCTCCTGGTAAGTTCTACGAACTTCAAGAGAGCTCTGTGCACTATAACAACATTCTATGAATTTCAATGATGCTCTGCAAAAAGTTCTTTAAGCGTGAGGAAATTTTTGCAAACTTTAGGGTGGTTTGTGAACCACAGGGAAAATTTAATAACATTAGGAAAGTACTGCGAACTTTAAGCAATATCTGAGGATTTCAGGAAACTAAAATCAGAGATGTTCAAAGAACATCAGGCAAGTTCATCGTTTCGCAATTCAACGAAATCAAGATTAAGTCTGCAAGTAGTAGACGAAATACGCATATCTGTCAAAAGATAAGCAATTATAACGGAATTTAAAGGAAATAAACCAACCCACTCAAAGCTCTTCATAAAGGGATTCCGTTAAGAGGTTCGACAAATTTAAAGCAACGATTTTTAAAATTTGAAGTCGATTAAAAAAAATGGCCATGTTTGATTTGGATGAAACTTTGCCCCAAGATAGGAAATTATGTTTACTACCATCCATCTATACATCGCAAGATGGGCACATTTAAGAAAAAAAAATAAAAAAAGTTTTCTTTCAAAAACTTTTTCATGTCTGAACTGAAGTACTTTTATGTTTTATCAACGTTTTATGAAGTACTACAAGGATTCTATAAAACAACATTCATAACACGCTGGTCAACGGCGCCGGTGGTGTAGTGGTAAGCGTGATTACCTCTCACCCCAGCAGGCCTGGGTTCAATGCCAGTCGGCGCCGCCGGGATGTTCTGAGGCATAACATCTCTGATCACGCCTTCCTTCGGATGGGAAGTAAAGCCGTTGGTCCCCAGTTCATGAGTTGATGGGTCGATAGGTAGGGTCCAGGTGTGGGAGCTGCTTTCCTGGCACGTCGGTAGCATTGGTGCTCAGCACGGAAAACAAGATCGACGGAAAAAACAAACCAAAGGAAAAAAAAATAACACGCTGGTCAAGATAGCTTTGCATTGATTACATCCACCAAAACATCATTAAAACTAGAATGTGTCTAGTTGGCCTACCCATAAGAAGGTTATAAAGAGTGTATTATCGAGATATTTCAAGAATGACTTGCGAACAATTGCCTCGAAAAGTTTAGGAATGCAAGAGATAATGGCTATACCACGATAATTACGTACGTCAGATTTTCGACCAGATTTAAAGATAGGCACTAGGAATGAGCTTTTTCAAGTTTTTGGGAAGGTTCCAGATTCCAGGGATGTATTAAAAATCCAGAACAATGGAGCAGTGAGTTCCATTGCTAGACATTTAATAAATACTGAAGGAATTCCGTCAGGTCCAGGACCTTTTGAGGCGTCTAAATTTGTTAAAGCCTGCAAAATAGCCTGCACTTGAAGTTGATTGAGGCCAATGTCCTTTGAAAATTCTGGAAAAAATGCAAAATAATCGCGGTCGCGATCTTCTTCAGAAAATGTCGTATAGATTTCTTGAAAAAAATTTGCAAATAGATTTCAGTTTTTTTCCGAGCTATCACCGACATTTTCGTCGAGTTGCATTATTGAAGGAAAATTGTCAGATTTTAATTTGGTTTTTACGTAATTAAAGAAGTTCTTTGGACAGGACTTTATTTCATGTTCTGTTTTTGCATTATATTCTTCAAATGCAGTACTGATAGCTAAATTCAGTTGATCGCATATATCCAAATAAATTAATAAATTATTACTACTATTGTGTTTTTTTTTTATAAATTTTATGTGCTTTTTGCTTCCGATTTTTCAAGTTTTTTATTTGTCTGTTATACCAGACTGGATTTTATGTGTTTCTGTTGCGTCTTTTTTTCTTCAAAGGAATTTCTTCCGAAATTATTTCTGTTAAAATTTTGTAGAACACGTCTATACAAATTTCAACAATTCCTACATTCCTTTAAATTAATTACCAATTGACACTGTTTAATTTAAATTTAATTTTTTCGTAGTCTGCTAATTTGTATTCAAAGACTTCTTCGTATTCGCAGTCGTTGGGTCTTTGGTTTTCATGCACAAATAAAGAATATTCAATTGCTGTGTGAAACGCCTCATTTTTCCACAGTGGATTTATAATGATTCGGTCACACAGAAATCTTCATAAATATTCGTTAGTGGAGCGATACAGACAAGCGCGGAACAGACAAAACTTGGTTTTCCGAAGGAAGAAGCGTAAGCAGGAAGACCGAGATTGCGAGACGATGGAAAATCTATACCGCGTAAACGACACACGGAAGTTCTATGAGAAGCTAAATAGTTCGCGCAAAGGCTACGTGCCGCAAGCCGATATGTGCAAGGACTTGGACGGTAACCTTCTCACGAACGAATGTGAGGTGATTGAGAGGTGGAAGCAGTACTATGACGAGCACCTCAACGGTGAAGCAGCAGAAAACGAAGGTGGCACGGCAACAGACCTTGGAGTACGCGCAAAAGACGACAGGCTACCGGCCCCTGATCTTCAAGAAGTTGAGGAGGAGATCGGTCGGCTGAAGATCAACTACCAAGTGAGCTATTAAAATACGGTGGTGAAGCACTGGCTAGAGCGCTGCACTGGGTAATTTCCAAGATTTGGGAGGAAGAGATATTACCGGAGGAGTGGATGGAAGGTGTCGTATGCCCAATCTACAAAAAGGGAGACAAGCTGGATTGCTGCAACTACCGCGCGATCACACTGCTGACAGCTGGTACTCTCCCAAATTCTATGCCGCCGCCTGTCACTATTTGCAAGAGAGTTCGTGGGGCAATACCAGGCGGGATTCATGGGTGCCCGCGCTACCATGGACCAAATTTTCACGATTCGGCAGGTTCTGCAGAAATGCCGCGAATACAACGTTCCCACAAATCATTTGTTCATCGATTTCAAATCCGCATACGACGCAATCGATCGAGATCAGCTATGGCAAATTATGCACGAGTACGGATTTCCGGACAAACTGACGCGTTTGGTCAAGGCGACGATGGATCGAGTGATGTGCGTTGTTCGAGTATCGGTGACACTCTCGAGTCCCTTTGAATCACGAAGGAGGTTACGGCAAGGTGATGGACTTTCGTGTCTGCTGTTCAACATCGCGTTAGAAGGTGTGATCAGAAGAGCTGGGATAGACACGAGTGGCACGATATTCAGGAGGTCCATCCAGCTCCTTGGCTTCGCCGATGACATTGACATCATGGCACGGAACTTTGAGACGATGGCGGAAACGTACATCAGACTGAAGGCTGAAGCTAGGCGGATTGGACTTGCCATCAACGCATCAAAGACAAAATACATGAAAGGAAGAGGTTCTAGGGAAGACAATGTTAGCCTCCCACCCCGAGTTCAGATTGGAGGTGACGAAATCGAGGTGGTCG